CATATCCTTTGTTTTACTAGAACAAATTATTGATTCGTTTCCATTTTGATAATTATAATTAAAATTTAATATATAAGAGATATGCAATTTTTTAATAAATTATAATAAAATACAACTTCGTAATCAATAATCAATTAATAACAATTGTAGAATTGTCCTCATAAATTGTTATTAATCAATAAATTAATTAAAATAATATATTTCAAATATTTTACGTAGACTACTTTTCTCCGAATAACGAATATTACAATAGCTGACGCATTTGCAGATCCAGAATAAAATACTAAAATAAAATAAATGATCTCTTTGATTAAAAAATATTTAAAGTTACTTTTAAACAATGTCGATATTACGTGATTAAATGTAACGTGCATAACTGTAGCTTCGCTCGAAATTCTGGTTGGTGCAAATTATTCGAGGCTGCAAATGCATATTTACAGAAGCTACGTTTATGTCAAAGCTGGGTACGTAACGACTCTGTGCGAGACAAACGCGGAGCGCACAAGCGAATATATATCTTACAACACGGTCGAGAGAATATATCCGTTCTGGAAATGGGCATACGGCTATCTCTTTAAACTCTCAGTCCTTTCTCCAATTTAGACACATAATAATGTGGGCGCAATAGAACAATAACGCTGAGTGTCGCCGTGTCATAAAAGCGCAAGCGAGCTCTTCATTTAAATACATATTACCAACTTCGGTCAACCGTATGTATATCTATTTCCATCAACAGATATCATTGTTCCGTACATCGCATCGCCGCGATACAATATGACAACCGTAACAAACCACATGGGTATTTCGTTCTGATATGAAGCATATAGCGTTAATAAAATGTTTATTTTTCTAGGCTTTATATATTCATCATGTAGTAGAATATCTTCTTTAATAATCAAATATCTTCTCTCCTTAACGCTAAAATTCAAGTTTTTAAATATATGTGATTAAAGTTTTTTTTTATATCTATTATACTTTTTATCGTTGTTATTATCGGTACTTTTTATTCATTATTGCATTTTTCGTTCTACATGTATTTTTGTTGACAATACGAAATCAACAATGTCTCCGTGAGATATTCAATTTCATCATAAATAATCGACTATTTAATGATACTCCATTAGCGCATTTACGTGCAGACTGAAATGGCAGGCTGGTTAAATAAATGTTAGCGTTCGCGAAGTAATCATAGATAACAGCGTAATTTGCTAAACACGTAATATGAAAATAGAATTCCAATATGTTACGTTAAAAGCTACATCAATTATTTGCGAAAATACATCAGCACATCAAAGGAACGTCGAGAATAGGCGTAAATCAGTGAGCAGGTTTGATCTTTTGAATATAATAGCCAAGGAGGTTTATGTAAGCAACGACAAAATTGGGAGTTTATCTGCTCACCATTTTGGCAAAGCAAGTTCTTAATGGCATCTTACGTTCTTGCAGAATTTAAATTCATTCTGTTTTTTAAAAGCGTTTTTTAAAAGCGTTTTTTAAATGTTGTGAAAAAGAGAATTCGTCATCTTTTCGCTATGAATTTTATTTGCTTGATTAATCATTTTTCGTGGTAAATCTTTAAATTTATGAAATTTAATAATAGCATGATCAACGTTGCAATCTAAAAAAATAGCAAAAAACAGTTTTCAGAAAAGAAATATTTCATATGAATTTCAGATCTAAAAAGCAGTTATACTTGTGCATAATCATATGATTATAATTGACATAATGCTTGTGAACATGATCTCATGAACTTTAAGTGTTTTTTCCAAATTTGCATATTTACATGTTATCTTTATATTTTATATTTTTCGTAACGATAATGGACGGAAGTAGAACGAAAATACGCTCTT